GGGGCTTAAGTGGAGAGGAAATGTTTTGAGAATGATGAGGGCAATGAATGTACAAATGTGCTCTACACAATTGATGTATGTATGGATTGTGATAAGAGTGTATGAGCCCCTAATAAAATGATTTTTAAAATAATAAAACAAAAAAAGAGGAAATTACTACATGTACATCAAAAACAAAGGCAAAATGGTAAAATCTACAACCCGGGAGACTGCCTGAAGATGTTTTACAGCTTCGTTACGGGGCTAATAACAAAGTGTGGGGGTGGGAGGTGGGGGGTGGGTCGGGGACACATGCTAAAACTTGGATTTTAGAAATCTAAAAAGCTCTCAGGTCTCTGTCAGGCCCAACTGACATCCCAGTTCATGAGAGTTGGAACACAACCCAACTGATGTTGAAAATAAAAAGGAAAAAAAAGTAATTAATTTGGTGCTACAGAGAATTATAATTTCCCAGCCCAAAGGGGCTTGGAGAGATGAGCGCCTTGAAGCGCGTGGGAAGCACGAGGGGGGGGCAGAGGGGGGGCTGGCTTATCCACCAACTAACTAGTGAGGCCAGTCCTGGTCCGGGAGGAAGGGGAGGTGGGTTAACCTCTCACCCCCGCAACCGAGAGCCCAGTGGGCCCTGAACACCGCCCCAGCCGATGGTGGCGTAATTGCTACTAGTGGAGGCTGGTAACTACACGGTCAGCAGTTTGCCATCACCAGCTGCTTGGTGGGCTCAGAAACCCACAGGGCAGTTCTACCCTGTCCCATAGGGTCACTATGAATCGGAATCAACTCATAGTGAGCTTGGATGTGGGTTTTGGGTGCCCACACTCCAGGGGCTAAGGCTGCCTTGGGACCAGCAAGCACTGGGGAGGCTTCAGGGAAGCCCAGACACACTTAGTTGCAGTTCTGCTAAGCCATGCTGGGGCAGGGGGTCCTGGAGAATCTTGGGGGGCGGGCAGGGAGTGAGCACTAGATAGGAGCAGGTACAATGACTAGGGAGGGGCTGAGCAGTCAGGGTGGTGAAGGGACCCAGCCTCCGACTGGTGAAAAAGGAAGGAGAACCTGCACAAGCAAAGGGTGCTGGGAAATGAGGCTACTGCCCACTCTATGAGGAGCGCCGGTTAGGAGTTAGGCTGCGAACCACAAGATGGGCAGTGGAGAACCACC